GAACGTTAAGGAAAATATTTACTATAATATCAACTGTCAAAATGTCGTCGATGAAGAAGAGCCCTTTTGACACTTTATTAGATTGACTGATGAAGAGCTATCGTATCACAGAGCCATTTATGCAAACAAGACTGTAGTTTTTGAGTTATAAGAAAGTAACCATATTAACCGAATGACCATATTACCGTCACGTACTATATTAGATTAGGAAGACGTTACTGCTCGTATCCCGGTTTATTTCCCTTTGTCACCACTATCGACACCCACGGCACGATATGGGGAAACGATTATTTTTATACCTACCGCCACTACACGTTCAGGTCTTCAAGTAAACCATAACGCAACTCTAGATACATCTAAATGAATAAAAAGGAAAAACTATGGATGCAATAGTATTTGAAGTTTAAAATAGGTAAGAGTGTGGTTTACAAGTGGTAAAGCAACGTTGTTGCGTATTATGGTTTATGGCTGCAGCAAGAATAAGCTCGCTCGACCCAGGAAAGACAAGGCCACTCTTACACAGAAGAGCCGCGTAAAATAAAGCAATATTTTTTTATATAGAATAAGGGCGACAAACAAGAACTCAGTCCACCTGATGGTAAATGGATGGCGAGTCCCATAGACATCTACATCTTTATCCGATTAAAAAAAGCAAATGTGTTGTCACCCTTAAGGACTAAGATAGAATACCTCATTTCCAATGAAAAGGGTTCGATACTCTACACTCACCATACGAAACAATTCATCTGCATTTTGATTCCGAATCTACGAGAGACGTAACGGAATAGTAGTGCTGTTACCTGTAGGAAGCCATGAGATCTCTCCATTTGCTACTCTTATGGCGAAAAACTCGTAGGTTGTAAGCTTTTACGATACCACTACACATCTTAGAACCTTAATATTTCGAAGTATTGGACCCGTGAGTAACTCTTCGATAGTTACGAACAGATAAACACATCATCTTAATCCATAAGTGCCTTACACTTTGGAAATGATTGTAAACTTAATTTTTTTCATAACTAATATCTTCTATCTATAAAGAACACAAAAAAATGTTTCTACCTGTATCCGTTATAGAGTGAAACTATCCAACAGATGTTGATGAAATTTTTTGTATTGGTTGAATGGATCCCTTGATGGTTTATTTTCACAATTAGACCCGGTGGGTGGTGCTGTTGTCGAGATCCAGAAATCACCCGCGCGAAGCCAATAAGTTTAAGACATATTTGTTATGTGTGCACTAATGTAGTAAGCAAGGAAGGGGAAATGGGACAGGATGAACAAAACTTTTAGTACCATCCATCCCATTACAACCTATAAGAGTCCACATATCATCACATATCCCGTATGGGGTCGTCCATTAATCACGTGGTGTTTATTAACAACTTTTTAACCCCCCTTCCTATGGTGATACCTACCCAGTTTTAGGCTAACCCTAATCTCTTATCCAAAATCACGTGTATTTATTTGGTACCAAGTATATTTGCCAGTGATGATTTACGGATCTGAGACGTGGTCCTTCACTGCTGGCCGTATGAGGAAGCTCAAGGTCGCTCAGCGAGCTATGGAGAGGGCTATGCTCGGAGTTTCTCTGCGTGATAGACTCAGAAATGAGCATATCCGCAGTAAAACCAGAGTGACTGACATAGCCCAACGAATTAGTAAGCTGAAGTGGCAATGGGCCGGCTATATAGCTCGAAGAACCGATAACCGATGGGGAAGAAAGGTTCTCGAGTGGCAGCCTCGTACCAGTAAGCGTAGTGTAGGGTGACCCCCACTAGATGGAGTGAAGACCTGGTAAGACATACAGGAAGTCGATGGATGAAGGTGGCTCAGGACCGTGCTTTGGCATTACTTGGGGGAGGCCTATGTTCAGCAGTGGACTTGTGAAGGGCTGTAATGATGATGATGATGATGATAATACAAATTTTTAGAGTATTATTTGTCAATACAGTTATAATGTAATTTAATTCTGGAATAAATAAAATAATTCTGGACAGTAGCCTAATGGCAGGGCGCGGACCGCAAACTCAAAAAAGGTCGTGGGTTCGAATCCGCTATTCGACTACTGGCGTGAACCACTCGTAACACAAGCAATTTAAGTTTACCACGAGTGGTTAAGGGGGGGAATATTAGTAATGTTTATAGCATTGTTTTTCTTTTTTTAAATAAAAAAAATATCCAGACTGATATGAAGGTTGCAGGTTGTTTTCGACTGACATATGAATAATAAAGGAGGCGTAATCATGTGACAAACATATAATGTGCTGGTGAATGAATATATTTAACCCTTTTCCTGTCCCATGAATCATATATGAACATTTCGATTGTTTAACTATTGTGTCTATTTCACCTACGGGGAACTCTCGACTGGGACGTCCTTTCCACAAGCTCCTTCTCAGACTCCTTCTTCAGACTACGGTAATACAGGTCATAAGGAAATTTGTCAAAGCCCTCTTGTATTGGAATAATTCCAATAGACTGATGCCAAGAACTGTAGAAGAGTCTTGCCATCCTGCTGTTGAGGTTTCAAAATATATAGGCCACTGGATGACTGCAAAATCGGGTAAGCGAATTAAGATCACGCGCCGCTTTTCAGTTTAGAAATTGTGCGTTCAACGAAAAAATAAATACACGTGATATCTCACTACACCTCCCCTCTCCAGGGTGATGTTTCTTGGTTTTTTTGAACCCCCTCCCCTCGTATCGAGCCTCACGTGATTAATGGACGTTCCCTATACTGCTTCGTAGGGGGATTATGCCATAGTTGCAACGCTTAGCAAAAGGGTTGGCAACCGCAGAATTTTTAGTTGTTTTAAGAAATCCTCATTTCCCAACTCTCAGTTTCGTCTATCGCCTTTAATGGCACCCATGGAATGTGGGTAGTATATTCTCTAAGTTGCCACTACGATGGAAAGACCTGTTCGCCTTCCATCCTTTCTACATCAAAATTAAGAAAACACTTTAGAGCAATCTGTGGTTCGTGGCATATAACAAAACAGCGGGATGGTCTCCTTCCGGAAGTTCACATATAAGAGATGAGACCTCCCGACTCTATGCAGCAGGGAAACATACGTAGATCATTGAGATTTTGCTTTAAACAAAAATTAAATAGTTTTATGATTCAAAAAAGTTAATAAAGAAAAAAATTTCGTACTATTTTATTTTATGTACTTAATAATATAGCGAAGTTATTTCAAATTCAACTCCATCGCCTTCATTGCTGTCGTCAACGTAGTAAACGTAATAATGTTTTTCAAAATAAATTTTGACACGGTGGCCTATCTCAACACAGACGAACCACTGTGCAGGACAGAGTTGTAGTTCATGAGTGTTTGCACAAGAACCGAACCGTTATTCCGTCCTCTTATAGCCTGATGGTACGGTAATCCGGTACAACCGGAGAGGACTAGATGGAGTGCCTCAAACCCTGTAAGTTTACTGTTTCTTTATACCCTTTTTACTACTATTTGGCGTCAGAAATAAGTAACTAGGTAGTACCTCCCAACCGGACACCTAGTAATTCTACCTCCTAGTCTAGCAGGAAGACTTCACCTATGCTACAATCCGTCTAAGTACCACTATTCTTACCTATTGTTGTGCGCCACAACAATAGGTAAGAATAGTGGTACATGGCACTAGCGCCATCTAATATCGAATAGAAGAACTAAATTTTCTAGAAAACTCCACGAGAAACACTATTAATATCAACAAAAACAATGCTTGCACTGCTGCCGTGATCCGGTTTGAAAGATATTGATGGCCAGTATTAACGTACCGCACCTGTAGCCTTTTTATTTGAAGTTGGATGCAGTCCACGGACCGCAGTAGCTACTTACCATCAGGTGGATTGTGAGTTCGTATATTACTTTCATAAGAAAAGATTATTAAAACACATTACACTTTAAACGTAGACGTTTAAAGTTTAATGTGTTTTAATAATGTAATAGTGTTTTGATTTAAATAAAATTCGTAAATATTTACTGAAATACTACTTATATGAAAATATTTTAGGTAAATACAACGTCATGTAGCAAATATGAATATTGCCGTCAACTGTCTTAGATTCTGCAGTCACGCAATGGCTGTTACTTATTATAAATGGTGCAATTTGTTACATAGATTTTTGTTTTTATCTTTTGATTATTATCCCACCTGATAGTAAATAATGATATAAAGTACGTGAGGGTAATAGCCATCCGGTTAAATATGGTCACTTTCTTATAACGCAAAAACGACAGTCTTATTTGCATAGAAGGCTATATGATTCGATTGCTCTTCATCAGTCAATCAAATAATAAAGGATCAATAGGACGCTGCTTTATCGAAGCCATTTTAACAGTTGATATTATTAAGCATTTTAGTCGATTTTAGTATGGCGTAAAGTAGTTAGTTTATGTTAAGTTATTTTTCAAAGTGTTCCTAATTATTACCAAAGCTTGTTTGCTATTTTTTATTAATAAATAGTTATAGTATACGACTTTGTGTTTTTGTATCTATCCTCCTACTAGTTGTTGTTACCCTCGTATACCTAAGTCGAAAACGGTAAGGCGTACTGGCTAACAAATGCCCATTCACTCTTGAAGACTATCATTATTGTAATTGGATGATGAAATAAAATAAAATAAAAACATTACAAATGGCTAAGGTTTTAAGCCTTGTCTTTACTTTAATTATTTATTTAATAACAGCAACAAGTTTACCTAATAACTAATTGTAAAATGGTTGTATTAGGTTCAGATTACTTAGAGATACATACAAAAAATAATTCAGAAGTCTGTTTGAAAATGAGGGATACCACTAAAACAGTATAATTTATTATTACGTGTACACTATTGTCCTTAATTGAATTATGTTAGGTCCCTTATATTAAATTATTATATAATAAAATAATGTGAAAGTTTGTAGAACTGCTTATGAAAATAAAGAAATCTACGTTATTTTCTTAAAGAACATGAAAACACAGATATAAACAACTTTTACTTATTACAAATATTTCTTCAAAGCCATCCAGTTTTGGGTTGTCGCTTAATAGTGTTAACATCATCTATTTTATTAATGGGGCGTAGCGTTTTTGGGCCCGGCGATGGAATCAGTTGCTCTGTGCTCGATGTGGACGACTGTAAAGTGCAGTAAAAATTTAATTAAAAATAATTTTTTCTTCTTCCTCTTTCTCTTTCTTTACCAGACACTAAAAATCCATCGCTAGATTTAGGCCTTTTTTTGAGTTGATGATAGAGAACCTAATCGGCAAGCTTAGCTGGCGGAGGAGCGAACGTGATACAAAATATATCGCCAGCACCTTAGCCTTATTTGTTACGCTTGACAGGCGAGTTAAAGATCGAAATACCAAACGTTACGCAATATTAGAAAATTTTAAATAAAAAGTACATTAAAGAGAACGCTAATTGGTATGAAGTCCACCCATTTTAATCTTATGTTAAGAGTGAGAGTAGATTACTAATATGCGGTTAAACTCCCCCACTTCTACAAGCAATGTATAATTGTTATCGTCATTCTGCCCATGGTGGTAATACTTTTAGTACCAGCAAAAAAGAAGCAGTTGCAGTGAAGCCAACGTATGAGAATCGTGATGGGTTATGTTGCTATTGGTTTGTATACATCATTTATATTAGAATATATATTGAATTTACTTCTAATGCGTTCCATAAATATTGTATAAAGTCTACTAAGTAGTGTTCATTTATTTAAATAGTTATGAGTATTATAAAACACATACTCTTGATAACGTTTGGAATAAAGAATAAAAACAAATAACATAAAATAATTAAAAAAACAACTCACTGGTGCAGTAGTTTTGGGTTGCGGGGAAGAAGGTCTAGGTGATGAAGGCCGAGAAAATGATGAAGTTTTATGAATATTAAACAAGGTTTTAGGTGTTGATGGTGCAACAGATCGAATAGAAGGCGAACTCGCCGTCACTTCCACTGTTGGTGCCACGGGAGTCTAGAATGAGAGTTTGGCTAAGTTACACTACAACATTCACACACATCTACATTGTAACGTTAAGCTGCTGACTTATCAATCTTTGTACGAATTTCTGAGTTTGTTTGGTCACATTCACCTTTGAAATATAAATGTTTAATATGTAGTTTTTAAATCCATGATTGTTCGTACTGTTAATTTCAGACTGCCTTGTTGGTCGAATGGTTGTAGTAGTGCGACTACTGATCATGAGGTTCTTTGTCCGAATCCCGGGTCGGGCCAAAAAATCAATTATTGAGTTTTTCTGTCAAGAAATTCTCAGTAGTTGCCCGGAGTCAGGAAGTTAGCGGTGTTTCACCCCCATGCCTCGGAAAGCACGTAAAGCCGTTGGTCCTGCGCCTGATCTCTCTCCGGTCGTGTCAGTTCACCATCCCATCTAGTTATGAGAGTGAGGGAATAGAAAGTGCACCTGTGCTTGCGCGCTTACGCTTGGCCACTATAATCCTGTCCTGCGCTGATGGCTAGTCTCTGTTGAGGTAGGCCGCCGTGGCCGAAATTCCGTCAGAAGGACATTATTATTATTATTAGTTTATGCGACAGAGGCGACGCTCAATAAAGCTAACTATAGTTGTTTAGTTTAGTTTAGTTTCCAACGGAATGTTTTCCACCATTCCACGTCTAAGCGCGTCTTTTGCGTGCAGGCAGGAATATTACGATTATTCGAGTCATGGAAATCTCCTCGAAGAAGCTAAGCATTCCCTTGATTTTGCGACCAACTTCGGAGAGTGATCTCGACGTGCTGAAAGCTAAGTGTAACTGGGGATATCTTTCTAACATTCCATGCTTAACATTTACAGCTGGTGCTGTAATGAGTTGTAACTCTGTTTATCATTGTAGTCTATCAGATCAAGAAACATAATCCAAATTTCATTTAATGTTCCTTGAGTGTTAAATTCTGAATAGACTACATGAATATCAATTGCAACATGCTGTATAACTACCTTTGGCTTAGCCGGTGGTGGTGGCAATGCTCCCTCTGTATGTTTGATTTCTCTAGTACCTAGTACGTGACTTTAAATTATTATTTTTTCAACTTTAATGTTCCTTGAGTGTTAAATTCTGAATAGACTACATGAATATCAATTGCAACATGCTGTATAACTACCTTTGCCTTAGCCGGTGGTGGTGGCAATGCTCCTTCTGTAGGTTTGATTTCAGATACTACTGGTCTTGCTAATGCTATATCTTCTTTGGTGTCATTACCCGTCTGAAATGTAACAACCGTTATTTCTCGCTTCGAGGATCAGTAGAATAAAGAAATTTTTTACTTTTATCGATCTAGTGACACATATTTGTATTCATTTTGTTGAAACTCTAATAATACCCACCAAAACAATTAATACCTTGGAAGAACCCTTAAAATAATGTTTAATGTTCTGTCTATAATGTTTAATACATTTTAAATTTCCAAGAGAATGAAAGCGTTCCATTGTAAACAGAATTAACAATGGAATGTATGAATATATTCTATTTTTACCATAAAAATGTAGAGTATTTTTTTTACATAAAACACCGAGTATCATTACATTTAACTGAGGAAAAGACCAAAAACTTTAAAAACTAAGATATACAGATTATAAGAGTAATTTCTAATCGACTTGATGATGGTAGCGTAACACAATACACCGACCCGTTTCGCCTTTTGGGTCACTTATAAAAACAAAGGAAAATGTCAGAAAAATGAAACAGCCTCCGATATAAAATAAAGTATTTTACATATACTTACACTAAATGTAGACTCATTTAGTGTAAGTATATGTAAAATACTTTATTTTACATATGCTTATTTCAATTTATCCTTACAGACAAGATCAGCGTAAGTTGTCGCATCAGTCATTCTTCTTAATAGGACAAGTTAATCAAAAAGGATCAAACTTACAAAAAAATACATTTTAAATATTGACATAAAATTTTAAATAGATATTCAGTGCTAGTAGTATGCTTTGATTTCTTATTAATTTTCATTCTTACGGATCGCAACTTTTGCTAGAATTGTTGTAGTCTTGAAACACGAGACATAAATTATCTCTTTTTAAGGTGTAGACACTAAAGACTATTTTTGGTCTCAATTGACTCATATCTGACAAGAGTGTGGGTAAGATCCTTTTTGAACAACTATGGCTTATACTCCCTTTAAACTGTGCTACGGTCATAATGGCAAGTCCTTTCTACAATGAGAGAGGTCCGTGACTAGCTGTATGTTAAATTAATAAAATCAAGATCAAAAGGATTTAATTAATAATAGCCTCTTGATGGGTTGTGATGATTGTATAAGTTGTTTGGTCTAAGGAAATAATCATATTTTGTGATAAAACAAATCATGTAAAGATAAAACATCTTCTACAAAAATTGAATTGGACCCTGGAGGTAAAGCCTATTAAATAAAAAAAATCATTAAAATCGGTTTACAATCTGCAAAGATACATCATACATACATACATCATACATACAAAAAACATACACTCGTATTAAGAACCTGCTTCTTTTTGAGGTCGTTCAATAAAAAAATTGATTAAAACAATAGCATTGAACAACGAAAAAATTAAAAACTAATATACCTGTTCATTTAATCCAACCGGAGTTTCTGATTGCTTAGATTTTTGTGTTAAATCACCGGGTGACGGCGTCGGTGTTCTTAATGAAGTTGTGTCTAAAATAAAATAATAATATGCATGTGAAATATTCATTGACTTTACTCATATGAAAAATAAGGTAAATAAACATTGTCAAGAAATTCTAAAATAAAGTATTATTATTAAACTGACATTACTGATTACTTAAATTTGTGGTATTCGATGTATCTATGACATGCAAGCCGTTCTAAAATTACATCAAATTAGCTTTACTTTAGATATAGGTAAGTTATTGCCCCCTTTTGCGATGAAAGATACACTATAATAACTTACTCAGCCGCAGTTGACAGCTTCAATGATGACTGCGGTCAGAATCAGGACAATAACATAATCTTATATCTTACCATTTCTGACGACGGGTGGTGCCAAATCAGACGCTGGCGATAAAGGTCTCGATGAAAGTCTCCGAGAAACGGGTGATGTGCTTCTGGATAACTGCATAGTAAGTTATAATTACTTCAACTGTTCTTGTTATATTGAATTGTATATGTTATTCAAGACGCTGGAATGGCCACAAATATGTAACAATTCTCAGTAACTCATATTCGCGCCATTTTCTTTTCAGCTTTCTATGATGTCGTTCGTACTCTCAATGACGCTCTCCAGATTTGACAAACTGTTAAATTATCTATGCACATAGCATCTCGCAAAAGGGTTTTTTTATTTCTCTTTTAAAAAACCATTAATACCGTCGGGCACACAAAATATGTAAAACCGGAGGAGTTTAAATTAATAGAGAAAAAAGACCTTCGAATAGCGCCTTCGAGAAAAAAATAACGACACAAGCTATTAACACTAACACTAAATATAACACGACCATATCATGATATTTTATGTCTTGATATGGCAAAATTATCATCACACAAATCCTAAACTACATAGGTAAAATTGTAACATAAATATAGGAAAAGTTTATTAGAGTTTAGATTTTTTTATCAGTTTACATGAATTTTTTTTCGTAAATCCTATTTTTCACTAAAAGGCCACAGATATGTGACGTTATCTTTAAGAAGCCATTATTCCTATTGACTCCTATCCTTTATATTGTATATTGTCTTTTTCTAATAGTAATATCATATTTTGGTGCTTACTCATGAAGCGAATTGTAAATACACAGTTCAGAGATATATTTATATCTCATGTTAATAAAAATTTCAAGTTTAACTTACCCTTACCCCGCTTACCCCTGAAACCGCATCGAAACTCATTTTTGATGTTATGGCACAAACTACATATTTGTGACAGTAGTGTTTTTCACAGTTAATAGTCTAGTCTAAGTTCTACAGTATTCAGTATTGTCAATACTAACGTTTGCAGACGCTGGACCAGTTATAAGAACAACAGGAGACGAAGCTCTGTTAGGAACAGCACTTGTGTTTACAAATCCTCCTACCGTAGGACCATCACCTGCGAAAAACAAAAAGATTCAAAATAATATACAACTATAAATACCCCACTGTAAAGCACCCGAACCGTCGGGAATTCAAAAGTTTAAATTAAACGCGGTAAAATTAGTTTCATTAAATGTGTAGTGTTAAATATGTAAAGAAATTATTATACAACTACAGCCTCAAACTTCATACTATAATCATAAATTGTTTGAACCACAGGGAGCGGAAATATACAAAGAGAGAAATCCTGAAAACCTATGACAAGAAATAAAGGAAAAAATAAATAATCTTAATGGTGTATAAAATAAATTAAAAAGTACTATTGTTGATGTATGTTATAAAGATTTCATACCTGGACCTTTCCAAGGAGATTTAGGTAGAGGTGAAGCATTCCCAGCATGACGTTTCAATTCTGTTGATATATCTTTGATGAGTTCTAACAATGTACTACCGGGAGCTAATAGCATCTCTATGGGAGATGATTCTCGGGATACCTCTGTTAATCAAATAAAAATTAACATATAAATGTATTATAAAGGTAACAGATAAAAATTGTGTGAAAATTGAAATACCAAACTTAAATACTTTTATAATTTCCATTTATTGCATCATGTTCGAATATTCTTAAGCAAAATAATATCTATATTACGTGGTGTCAGTGAAGGAGTATCTACTACCCATATAGACCAGTGGATGTCGTAAGAGGTGGAGTGAAAGTGAAACAGAATATCAAAATAATAAAAAAGTGTGGCTACTGTGACCGTAATCGGCAAAAGAAACTCCTTCGTTCACTATATTTCATTATTAACAGTATTTTTTCCACAACACTATTTTTGAGATATATATTATGAAAATAATATTACCTGGTAGTGGTGAACGCGTCACAAGTTTTCTGGCTTCTTCCATAGCCCTCTGTAAATTCTGCTGATTCTTGAATGACTCTCTAGTACGACAGCGCCCGATTTGCGTACTGACAATATATGAAACATTATTCTTTAGTAAGCGCTTTTCAAAACTAGCAGCCTATTACGGATTTCAACAAGTGGAAATATAATAATTTTTGGGCCAACCTTATTCACACACACCCTCTAGCAATGGGTTTATAAGACTACGGGTGGGGGGACTCGTTTTCTGACTGGAATTCGTCTAATAATACCCCCTTGCCTAAATCCATCACCAAATACTATAATAGACTGTAAATATTTTTTCCGTTTTAGTCCTCAGAAGTGATTTGCAGCTGTCCGTGAGCTACAGTAACCTTTTGCTGTCGTTCTAGTGGTGGACTATAATTTTTTTTGCCATATCCATTTTATACAGAGAAAGAAAATATATAATACTGTTAGGTTCTCAATGAATCCTTCTTTGCTGGTAGCACAGTAATTAAATTCACCAATCTCAAAGAATCTGCCATATTACTAAAATATGTTGTTTAGCTTAGAAAAGAAACAAAGTTTTATTTCCAATAGCTACAGTTTTTGATATCTCCCATGAAAATCAAAAAAGGCATGCGTTGAAGTTTTAAGCGACCAGTCATTATATTTATTGGCTTTGAAATTTTTGGTAATATTTCAGATAGCAACCAATATGCCAAACTAAATCAAATGCAGGTGACGTGAAAATATATCTAAGATTGAGATTTGTTCGAAGAAAAGTTAATTCATAGAAATATGAAGATTCAATCCATAAATTATAACAATTAGATCCAGCTGATTTTAAAGATTTTTTTTCCTTAGAAATATGTTTTATTGGAAGTTAATATAATGTTTTCATTAACATTTATTACTCCTGTTTTTAAGTAATAATGTAATTTATTTAGTAATATAACAATGGAAGCAAATACTTACGAAATACCAACTCCAGCAAGAGTTTTATCCCACATTGAATTACTATTATATGAAATTGCCATCTTGGCAATTCTTCTGAATCTATCCAAGGCCGTTTCATGCCTTTCATCATCATCTACAGGTGGTACTGGTGCAACTTGAAAATCTTTCATAAGACGACGCTCCCAAATTTTCGTACGTTTTGCAAGGACCGCTATAAATACCATAATTAATTAATCCAGACGTATTATGGTTGAAAATACCGCTAATACATCACCCCACCCCACGAGAGTGTTCTGCAGGTGACCTAGGGTACAGCTAATAGGATTCATTAATAGTTAAGTGTAGCAAACGAGCACATAGTCAGTGGCTGCTGGGGCCCATAGACATCTACATCTAGACTTGATTACAAATCAAAATGCAGATGCGCGTTGTCACCCCTGAGAACTAATATAGAAGGCCTCGTTTCCAGTAAAAAAGGGTCTCCTGTTCTCTACCACCAACGAAACACATCAGCGATAAGCTGCTATTTGGCGCTGGTATTCTGTGAGAGCGTGGTCCTTCCCCGGGCGTGAACTATACCAGTAATATAGATGCAGCATGGCTCTACCACGTAAAAAATTCTTCTGGCCTTCTGTCTATAGAAGAAAGTGGAATAGTTATATCATATTTATATCAAATGTAAAATTCACACACTGATTATGGGAAACAGAATCTAATATAAAACACAAATGTCACTCCCCTTTTTTGGGGTAAACCTCACTATTATGGAAGAGGCTTATGCCCAGCATCGGAATTAAAACAAGTTCATGATAATGATAAAGAAGAATGTATCGTCACTCATGTTTAAAACAAACAGAAGTTAGTAACTTGGTATACGTTAAATATTCACCGTGTAGCGGCAGCGTAAGGGACCTTACCTATGTTATCCCATGGGTGTGATTTGAGAGGACAGAAAGAAATGAAAGGGATGGTGTACAGCAGCATTTTCCAAATAAAAACTTAAAATAATACCAAACAACTGCGGTTGCAAACCTGCCTGCCAAGCATAGCAACTATGACAACCCCCCCCCCCCCCCCCCCAATTAGTCAAACTGTGGGAAAATCATATGTTAATCATATGATAAAATGTAGGATAATGATGATTTCTTATGTTTACGCGAACACTACACATTTAAATAAAACTAGTTTTTACGGATAATATACGCGATATTAAGTTATTTTATATTCCCGATGTTTCGAGCACTTTATACTTACTTTATTGCTCCCCGGGATGATCCCCCCCGGAATGGTGCTGTTAAGTGTTCGAAACGTCACGAATATAAAATAAGTTAATATACGCGAAATAATCCGTAAAAATTAGTTTTATTTAAAAGATAGGATATTGCTTTTTATTTATTTTTTAATATGGCTCACATAATACGTTATGTAATTTTACAATGTATCATCACTATCACTACAGCCCATCACAAGTCCACTTCTGAACATAAACTGCCCTCGTAGATTGCCACAAAGAACAATCCTGGGCCTCTTGCATCAAATGACCACACGCGTGCACTTTAACTAGTGGATGGTAGCCCAATTCTGCACTTTCCATAGCGAGACTACCATTTGAGAACCTTTCGACGTCACCGGTTGTCGATTTTTCGAGCTATATGGCCGATTTACAAGTAGTGCCACCTCAGCTTACTAATCCCCTGAACCACCCTTCCTTCTTAATTCCTTCCACCTGAGTCACCCTTTTTATTCTGCGGATCCTCCTCCGTTCCTCCTCGTTAAGGATTTTATTCCGCAGAGAAATTCAAGGTATAGTCCTTTCCATCACACTCTCAGTGACTTTGAGCTTCCGCATACGGCCAGCAGTGAAGGAACACGTTTCAGTTCCGAAAGTCATCATTGGCAACCCGTACTTATGATACACTTTCGTCTTATAATTCTAAGAAATAAATCTGTGTCGGAAGAGACAAAACCAGAAAACTAAGCTCCAAGTTTAACATCAGCATCTTCTTAATAACAGTCTAATGAAAATAAAAGCTGTGATTACCAACCTGTTTGCCAAGCGTGCCAACTATGGCATGCTTTATAAAAGTTACAATGGTTAGACACAAATAGTAGAAAAATAAGTTCTATTGTAACGATTTCATAAAGTCCACTTTGCCTAAACACATTTGGCTTATAATTGTTTTTATTATTAGATGTTTTATTGATAACGTCTATTTTCTATATACTTACTCTTTTCTTTCCTGTCTGTAAATGATACATCCATGCCGTTCTTCTCAAATACTTCTAATAGTTCGTATCTCAGAGCAGAAACATCACTTTTGAGTTCGTTAATATTCTCTTCTGTGACCGGTTCTTCGTCCATCTTTCTGTGCACTGACGACACGTATCGCCAAACAAGAGCACGCATGACTGCTGTATACCGGATGTCATATTCTTTCTCTTTCTGCTCCTGTTATAATATGATAAGAATACAATCACTATTCCCCATAAACAATTATCTATGGAAAATATTTTTTTTTAATTTTATAGGTGGCGAAGGTTTTTTTTACCACAGGGACGATAGGTATCCCAAATCTAACTCTGAGTATAAATTAAAGAAATTAAAAATGAGCAAAGTACTGATCTTAAATAAGTAATTTTTACCTTTATCTTCATTTTCCTTAACTTATCTTTCTGCCTAAGTCCCGACAATTTACAGAACAACTTTGGTGTGGGAAATATGTTGAAGGGCGGAGGCAACGTTGCGTTTTCCTCAAAATAGCTCATCCACAAACGGGCGCGTGCAAACTTCCATTCGACGTCAGAATGTTTCTGTGGAGTGTACATATTTTCAATTTATTCTATATGTCTATTACAACAAACATCAAACTTAGTTAAATAAGTGACACCTTTTCCATCTAATCCATTGGAGCAGAACAGTGAACACAAACAAAACATGAAAGCATTCCTAGCGGGTTATTCCGTTTATCCACCCTAAGAAATCCACCCTCGGGTGGATACCCGGAATCGCGTGTTCGTTTATCCACCCCAGAAGTGGTGGATAATCGGAATCCGTATATTATTTTTCTTTCAATTTTCCCCTCGGCTGAGTTTTTTTATTGGAGAGCATACGGCTCACCTGATGGTAAGTGATTACCGCCGCCCGTGAGCAACTGCTACACCAGGAAAATTACAGTAGTTTATAAAACATGATAGAAACTGTCACAAGATTACTTAGTAGATATTATATAAATACATGCACACATATATAATACACACTTCTTGTTTAAAGGTTAAAACTGAAATACTTTTAATGATGTTATATAATTCACGCCATTTTAGAGAAATCTTATGACGCAAGAAATGTTTTACTGCAATTAATTTCAATGATATTTTATTGAAGTAGGTATTTAAAATAAATAAATATATTGTTAATTATATAAACACGGTTTTGGAAATAGTACGGTACTTAACAAATTTTAAATGTCTTTTATTAAGAGACGAATTTATACAGGATATACAATTACGTTAAGGGTGGATAAACGGACACGCGTTTCTGAGTATCCACCCTAGAGTGGATTTATTCGGGTGGATAAACGAAATAATCCTTCGTAGCTCCAATAAATGACCCAACGTAAATTGAGCTAATGTATGTGGTGCATCAGCTCAGTTCTGTTAAGAGTCATAGTTTAATTTGAATACCGTCGCTATTATAATACTGATTAATTATAATTTGCATTGCAACTCATTAAATATAACTTCCTGTGCAACGAGTGACAAGCACAATGGCGTTATATAAATAAACGTTGTAAGCTAATATATGTTTTATGGCAAATTAAACCAAGAACTATCGGTAAATAAGGTCAGCTTTTTACTACGCATTCCGTGTCTGTTAACTAAACAGCGATGAAAATATTTTGCAATTTTGCGCGCTTAACCCACTTTTAAGTTATACTTCGTTCCAAGTAATAAAAGTATTCACCAATCAGGTTATATCCTATTAAAGTCTACTAGAGAACATAGGCCACTTCATAGATTGCCTCGTAGAAGAGATATTTGCCATAGTTGCCACGATTGGCAAGCGGGTTGGCAACCGCCGTTTATTTTTATTTTTAGTCGTTACCAGGAAGATGCTGCTGCCCGTCTCCTGATTTATTTCCCTCTGTCGCCTCATACGTCAGCCACGACATGATATGGAGTAGTGGATATTCTTACACCGGTAGTATTTCAATTTTAACATTAGCTGATGAACGAGGTTTATACGCGATGTATAGAGATCATAAAATATATAGGAATAAAGATTATATAAATATTCCGATTCTCATTCGGACATCAAACGGATCGTCCGTTTGATTATATTTAAAGTGCATGAGAAGTGTTTTCATAAGAAACTATTAGCTTGAAAACTTGTTACCTTAGACCATTCAATCCGATGGACTCGCCCCACGTGATTATTTCCCTCTGCGCAGGTATTGGATTTAAAAATCTTGTGCGTTTATAAAAACTGTTTACGGAATCGATTTTGTCATTACTAGAATCCTTTCCGTCGTTGTAAGTGCCCTTTCAAAAATGGCAATCTGTGCACTTAACGTGTGCAAAAAGAAGTCTAATACTTCAAATTTACAAAATAGATGAAGTTATATTCCATATGTAAGTATTTTTATTGTGATATATGCTTTCTTTCAATTATTGTCATTAAAAATAGTATCATAAATAATAATCGAAAACTATACCGATAAAATAATCGAGTACATAGTATTTCATAAAAGTCGTAGTGATAATCGAAATGTGAAAAGTGGACACCCCACGAGATTAGTTTTATATTTATTTTTTTAAAGTCAACCCTCAAATGTTGACTTATTAGGTTTAAAATTGTACATGCAAACACAACCACACTCCTTACGAGATTAGTTTATATTTGCAACGTGTAAACAATAAAAGTGTAAACAGACTTAACCCTGCAGTGGTCGCGCCCTATAAAAAAACGTAAATGGTCGCGTGGATTACGTAGAGTGTATGTAGTCCAATTTAAAATAAGAAGAAAGATTTTAAATATCAACTAAAATGTATCTGGGGGCACTGTCGTGCCCCCGCCAAGTCGAGCAAAAAAGCGACACGGCCGTATCATACTTTTCTCGAAGCAATTCAGGCCATTTTCGACCCCCTATAACTTCGTAGTGGATAAAACTAGAATACTGAATTTTCAGTAACTTAGTAGAAATTGTATAAAGACATTCAATTTGAATCAGTATTTTAAGAATTATAACTAGTCAAAGTTTCTTAATTTTGTCACTCACTAACTGACCGATCATAAAAACTCTAAGGCAATTCTAGCAGACATAGAAGCTTCAAATTTAGAATACAATTAGTGTTTAGTGTATAAATCAAGGAAAAACTAAAATATATTTTTACAGCAATTGCATAACTATTTAATATAATTATATTTATATTTAATTAAATAACTTTGTAATCCCATATAAATATATAGAATTACAAAGTTACATTTGGATTGAATGAATCAGTGTACTTGTATATGTATAATAGGTGTAGATAGGTACGTTGTTGGTATTCAAGAAGTAGAAGGTACTGGAAAAAAAGTAGGACTATCTTATCTACAAAAAGAAATGAGATGCCATCAAAAACATAACTTCTAAAAAAACCAAGTCTCGCAACTCAGTTCTGCTACCGTAAAAAGTCGGTTAATTTATTCAGGGTCCTTATATTTTAAGTTATTACGTAATTAGCTAACCTAACAACATTTTATGGTGACCATAACAATGTTAAAAATCTTTTATGTTTTAAATATATAGATTGACTTGGCAATCGCACTAAGCAATCTAATATAATATAATATAATATGTATTGTTTGTGAGATACATTGAGTTTTCATGCGATGGCCTAATCAATCTATTTATTTAAAACACATTGAAGTAATATGTACTAGAACAGCTATTTCAAACAAAAAATGTGCGCTACTCTGTGTTCGCGCGGTTGGTTTTTATCATAGAATAAACATAGGTAGAATGATCCGTAGGTAATAGTAGATTGTATTGTTAAATAGGTAAATTATATCAAGAACAATATCTAAATTTTGTCATTTATTTTGTATATTATATTTGCTTATTTAAAATAAACATAACTTATTATCATAACATTTAAATTACAAATATATTTACTTAAATTAGAATAAGAGTCGTTCATAAATGCTGGGCACGCGAGAATTAAAAGTGGACGAATTTATTCCACTTTGACTTTGATGTGGAAACCTAAAAATAAAATAAAAGAATAATAAGCAGATTTAAACATGAAAAATTTAGCCTAATTATAATAACTTATACATGTACGTTTCTGCAAAAAAATGTTTATAATAATATATTCGTCCTATACTTAAGTACTCACAGAAATGTCGCATCTGAAAATATTAATTTCATAATCTATATTCTATGACACGAGATGGCGTCTTAGGAACAATTTGTTTTATTATTAATCTTTAATACTTTTTATTGATTAAGTTTATTAACCGATGAAAAGTAATTCCTTGGTTTTTACTGACATTTCTTGAATTATTTGTGCAATATCTAAGTACACATGACGGAATATTTTTATCAAGATTTTTTTTAAATCAACACAACACGTGACATTTCTACAAGCGCCTAGCTAGTGACTGATTAAAGTGCGGTGTATGCACCGCAGTTGAGTAGAACAGAGTAGCTGAATGCAGTGTCGCCTCTAGTACGTAGTACGTAATAGCTCAATGTTAAAACATAAAAGATTTTTAACATTGATATGGTCACTATAAAATGTTTTATGTTAAACTATCTACTATTATAATAAAAGTATGAATGAATTAATTAATTTCCAGAAATCAGCTGTTGGAGTAACTCCTTGGAACATAGGTAATTTCACCACATTTTAGCAAAACAACAATACATCAGCTACACTTCTGCTAAATGTTAGGCCGCAAGGTAGTCAATTCATAATTTTCATTTTGAACTATTTATATGATTTGCTTTTAATTTTTTAGCCATATAAAATAATCATTTTTCCTGTAATTTTTGGAGTGTTTGGTTTTGGACCACTGAATTTGATTTTTATTTTGAAAAAGTATTCATAATGTCGAACAGAATTACGCACTAATTTAAGCATGTGGTAAGGATAAAGAAAAAAATATAATAAAATAACATAAAAAATATATGTAACATAATTAACGCACTTTGAGAAAGTAGTTTGTTCAGAATCGTTTACTGAATCGATTCCTATCAGTTTAAATATAGGTAGTTTTTTTATCCCAAAAATAATTAAAACTAAGTAAATTACAGTCACACTAAATCTGTACAGTCAAAACAAACAGAAATGGACCTTAACTTAAGGCAATAAGAGTTAAGAGTGTAGTTTTATTTGTATTATTACTAATTCTGTCATTCAATAAAAATAAAGAAAAATAAACTTTATTTCAAGCACGTTAAAGTCTTTGCATTCGTGGATTTGTACTGTGACCACAACATTCTTCCGGAATTAGTATAACTAATTTGATAAATAATCAGTGCATAAAAATGTTTAACTAAAAATTCGAGGTATGTATTATGATTATAACCCTCTCAGAAATGAGGGGAGGCCTGTGCCCAGCAGTGGGACGTAATATACTAATTGGGGTGTCTGAGGGTGTGCGTTAATTACGTTACATATTATATACATATATATATATATATATATATATATATATGTATGTGTGTGTGTGTGTGTGTGTGTGTGTGCTGTCCTGAAACTGAATCAAAGATAGTAGTTTGCGGTCCAAGTAGAGTGCAACTCTTCCGCCATGGCGAAGTTGGTCTTTGTACAATCACATGTTAACGCCTTTATTTCTATGCCTGTTTCGTGAACAAGATGGAAAGCTTGTGTTAATAGCCGTGCTTTTAATTCAGCTCTTAATCCAACCCTTAATCAAAAAGTTGGCCATATGTACTTTTCATATTGTGTTTATACCGACCAATAAAAATACTAAAGCGTCAGTAGCTACATCGGAATTATCGTATATAAAATCAAACCCGTAGTCGACATAGCCATAATGCCTTTAGCTGCTAGCACGGTATTCCGTCAATTGCTTAGTTTTCATTTCATCCATGACGAAGGTACAATAAATTTTAATATCAGGGTTACTATCCCCTCTCAATTTTAATGCCGTCAGCTTCCCTGATCGGCCATCGATGGTACTATACCACTTAATCAACATCCGTGGTGCAGGCAAACATGTTCCAAAACTTTTTTGTACATAGCGATAGGCTTTTGATAAGTATTAATTAAGTGTTAGGGTAAAACATCTTAACTCTGGGGAATATTTAGTTCTGGGCAATTTTCCAATGTTACTTTTTAGTTACTATTATTTGTCTCTTTAAAAGTTCGCTTTCTTCAATTCCTATCTTTTCTAGGATCTATTTTTTTCTTTATCTATCAAAGATTCCCCGAATACCGTTTTAACCTCTCATCCCCCTAGCGGTCTTATGAGGTCGCACCTACCCACAGCACTTTAACTCATAAAAACTTATATATAGAGACTACTTTTCTACGAAGAAATTTGGCATTATATAATCAATATGAAATACTCTATCCTATAGAGCAATAAAAAAAACTCTCATACTATGAATATTTATTTATAATCTACGTTTATTTCATACGCCATTTTCGCGTGAATGTTATTGTGTTGATTTTTGGATTTTCTAGTGTTTTAATATAGTGTTTTATTATAAAATTTTAACGAAAGTTTTTGTGTAAATATAATTTATTTTTTTGCGTAAATATTTTAGGTAATATATATTGAAATAATTGTGATTTTCACGCTGCCGACATTCGCTAGGTATGTTTTTTTTTTGTTATCAAAATACAATAAAATCTTTTTGCAATGAAGTAAAAGCTGACTTTTGTTTAAACCAGAAGATAAAGAATTTTGTATAGATTTTATAATGCTAAACTTTTTTATAGAAAAGTAGTCTCTAAATACAAGTTTTTATGGTTTTATGTGCCGTGGGTGGGTGCGGTCGCATGCGACCGCTCGGATTTGACGGGCGCATGTGACTGCATGGGATTTTTATGGCGCTTGAAGGGTTAAAATAGACGATTTACAGTTTGAATAAAACTATTATTTACGGATTTTATCGCGTTTAATTACTTTAATTTATTTTTATTATTATCCCGACGTTTCGGGTGCTTTACAGCACCCACGCTCACGGGGGGGACTGAGATGTTTGACGTCCCAATGTCATAGTTAGTCCGGCTACCTTCAGTTTTTTTAATATTAATTTTTGGTCCGATTTACGCAAAACGAGCTTATAGTATCATGAAGTCTTGCAGTGGTATGCTTGGGTTTGGGTTTAATTTGGGAAACGTCGGGATAATAATAAAAATAAATTAAAGTAATTAAACGCGATAAAATCCGTAAATAATAGTTTTATTCAATGTGTAGTGTTCGCGTAAATTTAAGAAATCATTACGATTTACAGTTACTAAGATCAGTCTGATTTTTTTTAAATTTATTTATAATTTTATTCCTTTATATTTATTATACCTATATTATATTTTGTTTCACAAAAGCATATTATTGTTATAATATAAATGTCTACGTTAAAACAAAAAAAAATTTGTGATGATTGGCTTATTACTTAAAACATAAATTCCTCCACTTTTTGTTTTTGTTACTTAGAGCCTTTTTATTTCTGGTACTAATTGTTAACGATACCAAATTACAGCTCTTTCGAATACCAATAGTCTCTGCTCTAAGCCTCAGACAAACGGGCGGACTGACATACTTGGCGAAACTGTAAACGTTCTTTATTGTGTTACTACGGAACCCTAAAAAAACATGCTACGCTGACCAACTAAACAGATGATTTTAATTGTTCAAGTGCATTTTGCTAATGCTTGTGAGTTTTTCTCATTTTCTTAGGGAAACTATCGATACGAAATATCGATATGGTAGCATCTCAATTTATTTGTCCGTGTTACACTCATAACTTTTTCTATATTGATATATTTAACCTACATGTGTGCGTAAAATTTAATAGTGTTGGAGATTTAAATTTGTGTGCGCCATAATGATACAAAATTTTTTGGGTATGTGTGCAGTACTGTCTGTGTAGTGTCTCTTCCAACACATCAAAAGTGACAGACTTTTTTGTTCGTATACTCGTCCATTGCGTTGAATGGTCTAAGCTTGATACTACCCAAAATCTCACAATTTTAATTCGTCTATTAAAATAGCATAACTCAGACAAACCGTAAGGCAAAAAGTAAGGGTTTTTGTAATGTTTATATTGTGATTTTCTGTATTTTTCTTATAATAAATAAATTAAAAAATATATGTCTTTCTGAAATGAAATATTATTTAGTATAAAACTTAAATTATCTGTGTAACCAGTAATTCACAACGTAAGTAGGTGTCCTGCATAAACGGTTTTAACTTTAATAATTAATAGAACAATTACATATTTATCAGTTTGTGTTATTTGAATTCAGCGAACGCATATGTTTTATTTGCGTCCACTGGTTGATTTGAGCAATTAAAAGTTTACGAATCAAATTAAAATAAAATATAACTTACGTCAATCATAGCATATGAGTTAGACATCATGGCAATGAGAAGATTCAGCAGGACGATTACGTTGATCACGGAGTACGATCCAAACATAAGTAGACCCCAGAACCTCGTGTAACTCTTGATTCCAGCCAATTCGAAGCTTTCAAGGCCAACCAAGCCAAAAGAAGCCCAGAACAGGGACTGAGATGCTTCGAATACACTGGCAAGTAAGAAAAAAAGAGAAAATAATGCACACTTATTATCATAATAGCTTTGCCGTATGATGGCGACATAATAAAATTCGTTACCCCATACCCTAAAACTACTACGAGAAATGCCAAGGAGACCTTATGGAATATGTTAGATAGAGATAGTAACTTTAAAAGAACTAAACGAGACATAAAAGGAACTCCAGCAACCAGTAACTGTTTAGCTAATAAAATTACCAGAACTGTGACGGGCTGCTGCGTCAAAGATGAGAGACACCAGGCACTGCGATTGTCAATACGGCTTCTAAAGGTGACGATAAAGTCGTAGAAATTATAATATAAATGGTGTAGATATAATATGAATTATGGTCTAAATTTGTTTTATTATTATTATAAAAACATATACAGTAGATCCGCGGTAATCCGACATACGTTTTGCAAGGCGGTGTCGGATTATCAAATTTGTCGGACTATAGAGTACTGCCACAGCCCCCTGGTAGTCCAGAACTTTTTGAAAAAGAGTACCTTGTAATCAAAACAAGTACAGTAAAAAATTCATGTGAAATTAAGTAAATGATGGATTTTCGTTAGGCTGCAACCCCATAGTCACACTTAAACTGAGACAATGGCCTGAAATAAATGCAACCTGTTTGTCCACGTATTCGCGAAGGTAACGGATTCATTTAAGGCATGTCGGATTATAAGGGGGTGCGGATTAGCCAGGGGCCGGATTATCGAAGGTCTACTGTAGTTCAAAAAAGTTTGGGTTAAAAATTCTTGAATTTCAATTTTGAGGATTTGTTTATGTAACCTAATATACCTACACAAATTAGAACCCTACCTACATAACATCTAACTCCTGATCAAATAGCGATTTCTTAAAGGGGTTATGGTGCAGTTGATCCGCTACGCTGCTTCAGTATGTGTTAGCGGACGTAACATATTCTCGATATTTTTTTATCCAAAAGTAAATTTTTTAATACTTTTTGTAATTTGTTGAAACATGTTGAATTCTTTTTTTTTAAATAAGGGTTTCATTATTAGTCATTGCCATATGGTAAATGGATGCTGTGCCTCAAACTGGAAATTATGAATCAAAATGCTGATGCGTATCACCCCTGACAATGCTGGCTAAGTAGTTAGAGTCTCTGAGTCTCTACACTCACCATACGAACATAGCAGCATTAAAATTCTATTTCACGCTGGTATTCCGAGAGATTGTGATCCTTCACCGGTCGGACAGACCAATTCGTGCTACAGCATGGCTTTTTAACGTATGATTTACCACGTTTAATTTAATTATAGCAAGAAAAACAATAATCAGTGAATTTGTCTACTTTTAATTTGTGTCTAATCGCGTACATACAATGAATATTATAATTATGTGAATTATTATTATTCGTTTGAAATGAACATAATAAGTTACAAATATTTTGGCAAGAGGGTAAAATTTTGAATGTCGATGCGTAAAGATTTCTCGAATCAAAGCAAGTACTGCTAATTGTTAACTGTTTTACTTTAATATGCATGATAATCCATAGTTGCCCGTAATGTCATGCAATCCACTTCATCAATCTTTAAAGTATTCATCTTGACGTTAATATCCTCTTCTAATTGAATTTGTGTTTGTAGAAGATATCTTAAGGAGGCAGTCGCTTCGTGTAGCATTTGTTGCAGTTGTTTCACGCTATGTCTTAACATTTCACATTCATAATATAATGCCTGACCAGGTGGATCACGGACCAATTCAGCACCAACTCTCTGGGCACGTCTGCCAAGTCGTGTATGTGCCAATGCCACATTCCCTTCTTTGTCTGATAGAGCTTTCTGCAACTGGAGTATATTATTCTGCATTTCCGTAATCTTCTGAGTTGTTTCCCGATGCATATCTTCTAGTTTTGCTTTTGCACCTTTAGTCTCTTTAATGCGTTCATTAAATTCATGGTTGCACTTATTGTAAGCAGCCCAAAGATCGTCAATCACTTGATTTAATAATGTATCAATAAAAACCCGAATAGGTCGAGCACTAGTTACTTCCCTAGCAGCTAATTGAATGTTTTTAGCTGAATAAGCATTGTACTCTTCAGCAGATATGTTTGCTGGGTCCAGATTAGCAAAACCTTCGTAAATAGATAGACACAAGTCAGTTGGTTTTAAAGACAACGATCCTTTATCTGAGTCAATGGCAGCTTGCTTGTATTGAAGATCACGGTCAAGAAGATAGCGAGTGGATCGCAGACGCCGCATCTGTTCATTGAGTTGTTCTAAGGCACGTTTTAGTAAGCTCTGACCTCCAAGAATCGTTGTTATTTCTCTTTGTAACGCATGCTCTACATCATCTACCACCAAATCTATACCAATACGTCCATCTCTCAACATAAGACACTTTCGACAAATTGTCAAAGCGTTTGTTTCTAAAGAAGCTAAACAATCTTGTAATCTTGTTTTGTACACACTTAGTGCTTCTAACTCCAGGCATATTTCTTTCCTCTGTATTTGAAGCTCATTTTTATTAAACTCTACATCTCCAATACGTTCTTCAATGCGCCTATCACTAGTTGCTTTCATGATAGCAGCACGCTCAGCGGTTTCATCGCGCACTCTCTCGGATTCACTCAACACTCTATCTGCAAGCTGTTGTTGATCTTCTGTATTTCTGCAACGTTGATCGTTGCTCAGCTTCCATTCTCCTAAAGTAAATTTAGCAGCTCTAGGTGGAATACAAACGATGGCCTGTTCGGCCAATCTTGTTGTTGCAATAGGAGCGCCAATTATATGGCGAACGCCGAACTGTGTTTCATTCATTATATACGATTAAGTATTCTATTATAAATACACTTAGTTGTTTAAAATTTTATGTTTGTAAAAATATCCGAGTTAATAATACAATTAGCAATACTATCAAGCTACGTACACGACTTTATGTTGTCAAATCGACAAAACAATTTGTTGATTACCATGGTGATGAATGGAATATAATTGGCCTTGAATCTCCATAGCTTAGAGTATGTATGTAAATGATGTAATTACTCTAAACTCCATAGCAATCACAATTGTTTGAAGATCTTAAAAAAATTTAGAGGTGTTACTATATATGATATTTAAGACAATATGTACATAGTAATATTTCTTTTAATTTGATTTTTTCACTCGATATTTATTTTATAGATTAATAATTAAAATGATATACAATATTAAATTCTGAGAATTGATAATTAATTAGGTTAACTACATTTTTTTGTATTTTCTCATTGTTTTGTAATTCTGTAATTCTCGATCTTTATGACAGTCGCATGCATGTGCAAAATTATGTTATTTTTAAAGTACTATAATAACATCATCTCAAAAATGACTTTTTACATGAAAATTCTGATATATAACATAAAACTACCAATGGTACCCATATCATGGTAGTCTGTTTTAAATATGTAATCACCAATTATAGGTAGTATAAAGTTTTTCGCATAGTGTCGACGAGTACTAGAATATTATTAAAATGTAAAGTAACACTAAATGTAATCCAATACGAGACTACCTATCATTTTTGAGTTAGTTTTTAAAGAGAAAAAATCTGGCATACAGCCTCCAATGTCATACAAATATTAACGATTAAAAAACTTCTATATTAACGATTAAAAATCTGTATTTTTCTTACAACTTGTGTCATAGGTTTATATTTTTGTAACTCACTTTCCAAAACTACGCCACTTCATACACGAGTCGCCTGCATTGTCCCAGTCAGGTAGACCTCCGGGCAAAACGTAACACTTCCGTTTCTCTAAATCAGCAAAGTACCATAGCAACTGGTTCAGACCTATATATGAATAAACCCTGATATGAATAGACTTTAATATAAAATTAAAATAACAAATATTACTGCTCAAAATAAGTCGTGTTTTTCAAATATTAACCTAAAAACTTTATCCAAATTTATAACGGTCTGTAAGTCCACGGCTGGACTTAGGAATCCTCAAAACAATTATACCAATTACTATGACGTGGAATGTAAAACAAAAATACTAGAAATTTCAAAATAATTAATTAGCTAATAGAAACATTAACGTAAAAAATCGCAAATGCTTAACAGACCAGCTGTGATCACATCATATTTGCGACGCGTGTGAACAAGAAGCGTAGGACTTCCATTCAAAAATAAATGAAATTCCTTTCAATCAAAATAATTTTTATTAAAAGGGTGACAAAAAAATGACACTGGCCACATAGACATCGACATCCATCCTCGATTAAGAAACAACATGTAGAATGTGTTGTCACTGGGACACACATGGGGCGCCTCGTTTTCAGTAAAAAGGGTTGCCGGTTCTCTACACTCAACATACGAAATATAACATATAAGATAAATACTCACGCCTATTACCCAGAGGGGTAGGCAGAGACTACAAAGTTTAATTTGGCACGATCATGACACACCTCTCTCGCCTCATTTACATCCATGTACCTATATCATATCATCCTATACCGTAAATGCTCGTCAGTTAAGAGTACACTTAATCAGACCCATATTAATTATATCGCCTATTTGGACAGTATGCTTTCATTTAGGGCGTCCCTTCCCGACTCTGCAGTTCACTTCTGCAACATAGATTTACTTTGTCACTCTTTCCTTGTACAGTCTTTCTACATGACCAACCCACCGAAGCATTATTTTCTTGATCCTGGTCACAACATCATTTTGCAAACCACAATCTTCTCTTATCACACAATTTCTCACCCTGTCATTCAGATTCAGTCCTAACATACTCCTTAGCGACCACATTTCTACTGCGTTTATTCTACTCTCCTGCTTCTTCTGCCACACCCAACTTTCGCTACCATACGTTAAAGTAGGGACCAACACAGCATTGTGAATTGCCATACGTGCCTTTTTGACACATTTTATCTCTTCACAATAGAGATATTTATATAATAGTGTATAAACGGTTAATGCAAATTTCCTATTGGCAACATATTGCAATGCACATATAAATTATTAGGAAAAAATATAAAGATCATCGTCTTCTTTTAAAACTTCTTTTAAACTACACTTTTCTCTTATCACACAATTTTTCACTCAGTTTTTCAGATTCAGCCCTAACCGCATAATCGCATTTCTCCAGCATTTATTCTACTCTCGTGCTTCTTCTGCCACACCTAACTTACACTACCATACGAAACACAGCAGCATTAAGCTGCTATTTCACGCTGGTATTCTATGAGAGCGTGATCCTTCCCCGGTCGAGCAGACCCATTCGCGCTACAGCTATAATACAGCTGCAGCGTAGCTGTATCACGAAAAAATGGCCCTATGCCACGGCTTCTCTAGTGAGACTTAGCAAGAGCATTCGTGCGAGAGTTACTCGCTAATCACACACAAGTTCAGTGCGCGCAGCTAGACTGTTCTGCCGTTTATCTCCGAATATCAAAAATAATCTTATTTAATTTTTATAACAAAAGTATTAAAGAATATTTTCTCATGTAAGTTTTAAATAATACACTAATAAAGTAATGATTAAATAAATAACAGTTCACTCACCACAAGCAAAGGCAAAGAGAACTAGAGTGTAGATAAAGAAGAATTTTACAATGTCGATCACCATCCGACCGAGGGAAATCTGCAGCGGTCCCAGATGCGGGTTAATAGAGAAAAGGTGCAACAGCTTCAAGGCACTACAACAGATTTCAAATCATAAACAAGCAATCTCATATTTTAATTAAATATCACAGGACAATGTAGTTAAATATAGTTAAAGTTAAAGTTACAGCCTATATACGTCCCACTGCTGGGTACAGGCCTTCTCTCATTTCTGAGAAGTTTCAAGGCCAAGGAAGTATCCGCCGCGCTGCCCCAATGTACATGTCTTCGAAATACTTTGTTTTCCTATTTCTCAGACATGCAGGTTCCCTCCTATTCCTAGGCCCACCCTACACGTGTCCCCCGGGTGGTGCTAAATGAGCGACAAGCCGATACCACAGACTCGGCTCCACGCCGTGGTAGCGGCGTAAAACATACCACCCAATATTTTCGCACATGAGGAACTATATAAAAGAAATGGCCCCGAGTTCCCGGCGCCCCTTTAATGGGGCAGGGGTGCGAAGAATCTCCGGGAGGAAAACCGGCGACGTGGTTCGCCACCCGTCACGTTCTGTCTCCCGGAGAGGCGAAAAGTGGATTGCAGAGGCCCGTCTGGCTACGTTGAATGTATGTGGGGCAATGAATGATAAAATGGATGAAGTGTGCGATATGATGTATGATAGAGGAATAGATGTGTTATGTGTAAATGAGACGAAAAGGAAGGGGGAAGGATGTCACTACACATGGCATGTATACCGCATACTAGTCTGGTGTAGACGAGATCGAGCGGGCATGCCAGGGGGTAGGTATCATCCTTTCAGAAAGAATGGGCCAATGTGTGAAAGAGTATGAATGTGTAAGCCCAAGACTGCTATGGATACGAATGAAAGTGGGCTTAAAGAAGTTGTTTGTGTTAGGGGTCTACGCCCCAGACATGTCTAAGCCCACTTATATCCGAGAGCAGTTTTGGGAAATGGTAAGGATGGTGTTAATGAAGTGTAAGGGAAATGAAAATATTATTATGCTAGGAGATTTTAATGGAAGGGTTGGGGTGAGGAGGCTTGGTTATGAAAGGGTATTGGGAACGTTTGGTGATGAAAGTATAAATGAGAATGGTGAAAGTCTCCTCACCGTATGTATGGAAAAGAATCTTTTTGTGACGAACACTTGCTTTCGCCACAAGAGGATTCACATGTATACTTGGGAAAGAGGTGACGATAGAAGCATGATAGATTTCATATTTGTGGATGAAAGATTGAGGGGCGCAGTGGTAGATACAAGGGTTTACCGGGGTTCTAACGTAGGAACGGATCATTATTTGGTTTTATGCCGAATTAATGGTCTATTCAGGCGTTGGCGCCATCGATCGTCTGTGTCTACCACTGCGTTACAGCGTATTAGAACAGAAAGGTTACAAGATGAAGGTGAGAGAAACAAGTTCAAATGTAGACTGAAAGAAAATATAAGTGGTTTGGATGAATTATGTATGAAGGAGTTAGACTTGTAGAATGTATGGCAAAATGTAAAAAAAGGTTTAGTGGATGCAGCTACCGAATTATGTGGTGTTAGTAAGAGGAAGAATGAAAGGAAAAATAATACGTTGTGGTGGGATGATGAGATACGTATGGAAGTTGAAGCAAAGAAGAGAGCATGGCTAGATTTACTAGCAACAAAGGCTGGTAATTCTAGCGGTACGAATGATGATATTGAAAGAAAAAAGGCAGTCTTTAAACATCTTAATAAGAGAATAAAAGAAGTAGTTGAAAGAAAAAAGCAAGAAAGAACGGATAAGAATGATAGAAGAATATCGGATAACTTCCAGGCAAATATTAAAATGTTCTGGAAACTTGTAAGAACTGCCAGGGGACATTCAAAACAGCCTATGATGAATGTTATAAGAGACGAGAATGGCTATATTCTGAAAGATGAAGTACTGAGTTTAAAGAGATGGAAGGAATATTTTGAAAGCGTGTTTATGAGTGAGGAGACAACGTGTGTAATAAGTGAAGTAGAAACTCCGAAAGAAGAGGAAAGAGGTAGCGAGATAAGTATAGATGAAATAATGAAAGCAATGAAAAGCATGAAAGCAGGTAAGGCTGCCGGATATGATAGAGTTTCACTCGAAATGCTAAGGGCTGGAGAGGAAGTCATGGCAGGCCTGCTGCACACCTTGTTTAATTTATGCTGGGAACTGAAGCGGGTACCGGTAGACTGGTGCAAAGCCGTGATAGTCCCAGTATATAAAGGAAAAGGGTCGCAGCAGGACTGTAAAAACTACCGTGGCATCAGCCTTCTTAGCATTGTGGGAAAACTGTATGCTAAGGTACTGATTGAAAGGGTCATGAAAGAAACTGATGGAAAAATTTGGGATGTGCAAGCGGGATTCAGAAAGGGAATGGGATGTACAGATCAAGTCTTTTCCATGCGCATGATCGCGGAGAAGTTTTTGGCCAAAAACCAAAAGGTTTTTTGTGCGTTCATGGACTTGGAAAAGGCCTATGACAGAGTGGATAGGGATGTGCTATGGCAAACACTGAACTCATTTGGGTTGAGCGCTGGCTTGGTACAGGCATTGGAGTCTCTTTATAGGGACTCTAGTGCTTGTGTTAGAATCAACGGGGTCTACTCGGACTGGTTTGACATCCATAAAGGTGTCAGACAGGGCTGTGTAGCTTCCCCCGTGGCTGTTCAACCTATTTATGGACAGTTGTTTGCAAAATTTGAAAGTTAAAGAATGCGGATTAAGAATGAGTGAGTTAACCGTCAAATGCCTTTTGTACGCCGATGATCAAGTTATCCTTGCGTCGTCGGCGGCCGAGTTGCAAATGATGGTTACATTAATGAACAGATCATTAAAAGAAAGGGGTATGAAAGTGAACGCAAGTAAGACGAAGGTTATGGTTTTTGAAAGAGAAGAAAGTAAAACGATTTGTGAAATAAGAATAGAAGGGGAGTTGATCGAGCAAGTGGATGAGTTTGTATATTTGGGCTGCGTATTTAGCAGGGATGGGAGATACGATAAGGATATAGAACGACGAGTGAATGCGGGAAATAGAGTAAATGAGGCCCTGCACTCTATTGTGAAGAGTCAAAATGTGTCAAAAAAGGCACGTATGGCAATTCACAATGCTATGTTGGTCCCTACTTTAAAGTATGGTAGTGAAAGTTGGGTGTGGCAGAAGAAGCATGAGAGTAGAATCAACGCAGTAGAAATGCGGTCCTTAAGGAGTATGTTAGGGCTGAATCTGAACGACAGGGTAAGAAATTGTGTAATAAGAGAAGAGTGTGGTTTGCAAGATGATGTTGTGACCAGGATTAAGAAAGGAATGCTTCGGTGGTTTGGTCATGTGGAAAGAATGAATGAGGAAAGAGTGACAAAGAAAATTTATGTTGCAGAAGTGAATGGCAGAGTCGGAAAGGGACGTCCGAGGCGAAAATTTAACGACCAAATTGGCGATTTATTGAAAACGGGCCAAATTAGTAGTACCCTTAACCGACGAGCATGTATGCGTAGGTATATGGATGTGAAGGAGGCGAGAGAGGCGTGTCAGGATCGTGCCAAATGGAAGTCTGTAGTCTCTGCCTACACCTCTGTGTCACAGGCGTGAGTGTTTATGTTATGTTTATGTTATTATGTAGGTTCCCTCACGATGAAATGAAATGATTTTTATTCAATATGGATTATTGGATAATACTTATTGAAAGTCATTTCTTTATTTACTACTGGTTCAGAAAACAAGGTAATTAGTACAACTTTTCTGCGTAGCGGTCGGTCTGGATAATTCTGGGCTATATTCGTACATATTTCCGCTGCCAAACAACAATAAATGCACTGCTGTTGTCCGATCTGAAGGTAAAAAGGTTAAGTCAATACAATTACAGGTTGTGAGGCATTCCATCTTAGTCTCCAGAAGGGACAATACTTCTGTAGTGTTCCTCATTTGAAATTGGTTGCAGGTACTCATGGGCTGCAGTAACTGCTTACCATCAGGTATACTGTAATAACGTTTACACTTAACTATTATTTAAAAAAAGGACGATTTATCCAAAGCCAAAGTGGTTATGTCTTTCTTATAGAATAAGGGTGACAAACGAGCACACAGTCCTCCTGACGGTAAGTGGATGCTGTGGCCCATATACATCTACATTTATTCTCGATTTAGAATCAAAACGCAGATGCGTTGTCACCCCCGAGGACTAAGATGGAATGCCTCGTTTCCAGTAAAAAAGAGTCTCCGGATCTCTACACTCACCATACGAAACACAGCATTAATAAGCTGCTAATTTTTGCTGGTATTCTATGAGAGTGACCCAATCGTGCTACAACCATAATATAGCTACAGCGTGGCTCTACCACGTATAGATAGCCCACAATAAGCAAAACTTAAATTAAAAACACAATTATATTATTGAAATAATACAAATAGAGTATTATCAAACGAACGTTAACTCGGATTCTCCTTTATGTACATTTTTACCCGCAATCTCCTCTATGTAAATACAACTTGAATAAAATACCTTTACGCTCCCACAATATTGGGCTTCAATAAAATGAGGTGAATAGTTCATTCAACCTTCCAGAGATAGCATACTGTTATTATTGTAATTATACTTTATTATGTATTATCTTTATATATAAAAATTACCAATATACCTAAGTCTTGACCCAACAACTGAAAAAAAAATTGTATTGCTTATTCCAATTTGAGCGATATGATAGTTTTATCCCGAGAAATGACTCTAAATATTTTTTACTGCGACTTTTTTAAAAGAGAAAGGGACATTGGAAAAAGCAGAAAAGAGTCTGGCTGACCAGCTAGTGAAGTTATTTTTTTTCTGATTACTTTAATTGGTCACACACCAATTTATGTAGTTAGTTTTTACAATACGTTAAACATGGTCTTAGCTAAGTATTTACAATAAGTTAAGCATGGTCTTAGCTTAGTTTTGGTGACACTTGAAATTTACGCAACGCTCCGTCTACCGTCAACTAAACACTAGATTTCTATGCGGGAATCCGTCTAAGTTTGTAAAAGTAAAGTAAAGCTACAGCCTATATACCTCTCACGAGGACTTCACATGTCTTCATAATATTTTTTTTATTTCTCATATATGCAGGTTCCTTCACGATGTTTTCCTTCAACCGCCGAGCACATGATAAATCAACACTTAAAGTTGGAAGCCGTGGTAGCTTAGAGTTAAGCCTCTACGCCTCTCGCTGGAAATTTTACAGTACGCGAGTAACCCGGGTTCGATCCCCGCCGAGACCAATTAAATTCTTTAAGTTAGTACAACATAATAACTCTGCCGTCAAGCCACACACAGCTGTCATCCAGTATGAAAAGTCACCGGGTATGACTGCGGACTAGATCTCAGGGGTGCAACGAATCTCTGGCTTTCTTTAAAACTAGTTGCTAGTGTCCATGAGTGTTTTTTTATTTTGATCGTAGATATAAAATGTTTTATTGTTGATAAGCAATAAGTACTAACCTAAAAATATTCGCAGCGGCAAACAACCCTTCTGCTATAAGCTGAGGGTCGAACGCGTCCCACTGTTCCCTTGGAATAAATCTGGTTTGTGAGTTCTTTTTTATTTCGGCTGTTTGTTGTAGATAAGCCACTAAACGTAAAAGTGCCACAGCGACGTAAAGCGAATTGCGTGTGAAATCGATAAAATTCCACAAGTTTCGGAGATAAGAATGGATTCCTTCTACGTAGATTTCTTGTGTCTCCTCCCAGATAAATCCTTGAGTAAAGAGCAAAGTTTCAATGAAACAAATAAAATAAAACTGGTTAAAGTAAACAAACTAGTCTCCTTGTTGTCTTACCTAACACATAAATAAAAACTGCAATTTCCAAGTACGTGGGTGCGTTCCCTCTCTGTTTCAATAGTTCCTTATTGAGATCTTTGATCGTCTGTTCAGATCCGAATAGTTGAATAAGTTGCACTTCCGCGCGTTGCGATACCAGAATTAGGAATCACTGTCGGAAATAATAAAACATAATATTAGTCTAAACTTTAACATTAATATAAAATTCACTGAAAATAGGCCTTTCATTACGGATTTTGTTATAGTAGCCACACTTGGCAGGCGGGTTGAAAACCGCATTTTTTTATTGTTTTAGTTGTTATCAGAAACAAGCTGCTGCTCATCTCTTATTGCAGATTCCCTCTAAACTTTTATCTCCAAGTATGACATAACTATGTTTTATAGGAGAGCAAACGAGCATACGGCTCACCTGGTTGTAAGTGATTACCGCCACCCATGAACAACTGCAAGACCAGGGGAATTGCAGATGCGTTGCCAGCCTTATAAAAAGGAATAGACTTTTTTCTGGAAAAATCTCTCATGGTGGTTGATCCCACAAGGAAGTTGTGCGAGGAAGAAAACTTTTAAATCGCACAGTGGTGGACCGCCAGTAATCCAGATGGAATGGATAGTATCACGAGTTTTGTCGCGATGTGCGATGGGGAAATTGTGCGATGGTGAAGCTAGATAGTAGGACTCCCTCTCTGCCTAAGATTCCATGGATCTGAACCCAGGGACGCGGACGGATGGTCCCAAGACCATGTTACCTATTTCTGCCGCCAGATAACAGTGCTTGCACTCCTTGGTTCTGGTCTGAAGGCTATAGAGAGCCAGTATAACTACAGACTGTGAGACTGTAAGGACATCTTAATTCTCAGAAATGTTCACCTTTGTTTTAATTTGATTACATGTGTCGTGGACTGCAGTGACCACTTACTATGACGTGGAATGTAAGTTCGTTTTTCATTTAAATTTTTTTTAAAAGCCCTCCTCATAGTAAGTAGATTCCGTGGACCGTAGACACCTACATCTAATCTTGATAAGGAGTCATAACGCAATTGAGTAGGCACATCTAAGAACTAAAATAAAATTTCTCTTTACCAGTAAATAAGATTTTCTAAATAGAATTAACGTGGCAAATAGCATACAGTGCACCTCCCGGTAAGCGGATACTGTAGCCAATAGAAATCTAGTGATGCGTTGTCACCCCTGATTTTCAAAGGAGATTTTTTCTTCACTGCGCCTGTAAAGCTTTCCTATTTCGCAACATTCGCTCGTTATTTCTTCAAACAGTGTTTATTATTTCAAATACGAGTGTAGAGACACTCACCATACGAAACACAGCAGCATAAGGCTGCTATTTACGCTGATATTCTTTGAGAGCGCGGTCCTGACCCGGGTCGAGCCGATCCATTCGTATTCGTGCTACAACTAATAAAGTTGCAGCGTACCACAAACATAGTATAACTAAAGCGTAGCTCTACCACGTTAAAGTTAGTTCCTTGGTTCCACCTTATGAAACAAACCTAAGAATCATGCTGCAATCTAAGACGAATCTAACGACACCCCATCTGAAATTTAACTTACAGAGCGTGCCAAATAAATAGACATACATACATATACATACATACATATACATACAATCGAAAACCATTATCCTCCTTCTGGGGCATTAGGGCAAAAATCAGGACAGTACCGTAGCACAAACCCCGCCGGCTTTAATCTGCAAAATAACTCTTACTGGATGAATACTTTTGATTCAAATATAACTTATAAAGTAGCGTTGGAATTTTCAATAATAGACATTATCTGCACACACCCTCATTATACATGCGTACACATCTGCCAAGGGGTTTTAAAGGATTGTTTTATCCGTTTCGAAATTAAAAGAGCTTATTACTGATTTAATATTTTTAATAGTTTTGAAAATAAGGAGGTTTGGGTCGGCATTTTTTACTCTAACAGTAGCGAGTAGCAGCAATCCATGTTACGGCACTTAATTAGAAACCAAAACATTTATGTGAAACAAGAAACGAGCTTACTCCTTTTAAAGTGCCGGCACTGAACTTGCAATCCCCTGGTGCGGCAGTTATTAATGGTCGGCAGTAACATTTACCATCAGATGAGCTGATAAATTGTACAGTCTTAGGACTACATATAAAACCGTATATATCAAGCATCATAAAGAGACAGAGCGAAAGAGAAAGGGAGTGCAAGATCGCCTGGAGGGATATAACGCTTTTTCTTTATGTGACGATTACTGCCATTTCACTCTACTGTTAACCGCGTAAAAGAACTTCGTTCAGAAAAAATTCTTAGACCTACTTATACTTATAGGTAATGAGGAACACTACTCACAAAGAAAGAACACATAACTTGATGCGTGGATCAAGAACTTCATAAAAGGCTTCCTCATCAGCTTGCCGATTTTGCAGTTGGGTGCTATCATATACAGGCTACAGTAGAACGGGAAAAGAAACGCGACGCGAAATATGATCATGATCTTCTCGATAGCTGACTTCCGACGGAAACCTGGTACTCCTTCGTACCAGATAGAAGCCAAAAGCTGCTGAATGTTTGGATGCGCTACAAACTAAGAAAACATTGGCAGGTTTTTATGTATTACAAATTATCTTTATCCTATTAGTTATGCTTAAGATATCTAAGAGTCTTACTACCTTCTTTTGCTTAAAATTGATCGCCAACTCCAGCCGTGATAACTTCATATGTTCGCCTTCAATGAATGGCGGTTCTTTTGAATCATGATTAAGGATAACAGCCAACTCATGCGAGCTTCGCGACTGATCCAGGAGATCAACAGCGAACTTCTGAACTTGGCGACGTAGTTCCAAATATTCTGTTTTACTCTCCTACAAATATCGTTATATTATATTTTTATTACAATTTTAGAGAAAACATTTTCTGTGACAGTGACGCAAGACGCAAAAAAATTAAAATGCTTGCTATTTTGAGTTCAGTTTCTGAAGAAAAAAATGATGAAAAAAATCGGAAACAGTTTTACTGGAAACAAGACATTCCATCGTCTTCCCCACGGGTTATTTTCTTTTTAATTCTCATTCAATATTTGGTCTAGCAGTGGGTAGTAGCCCATTAATAAATAATAAATTCACAATGTCCGCATAAGTTTGCGGATTTTTTCCACACTTATAGGTCTTAAAGACCTTCTCAAAAGTAGCTTAGACTTTTAAGAGGCAGGCAACGCACCTGCTACTCCCCTGGTGTTGTAATGGTTAATGGATGGTTTAGTCACTTACCATCACGTGAGCTGCATGCTTATTCACTCCCTCCTCCCACCTCATTTCTTTAAAAAACATACCAAATTTACTTGCCATTAGGCGGACTGCCTGCTCGTATTACCAGTTTCTTTCTTTTAATAGGGGTAAGATAACAAGATTAAAAATTGTTAGTATGTAAATATTATTAGTATACTCGAGCAACCCGGCTTCGATCCCCGCCGGCAACAATGAAATTGCTATTGCAATTTTAAGTGCCGACTTACCAAGTACTCGGCGGAGAAGGAAAATATCGTGAGGAAACCTGCAATTCTGAAAAATTAAAAAAGATAATTTGAAGATATGGTTTTGGGCAACTTGGCGGACGCTTTCTTACCATAAAACACTCTTAAAATCGAGAGGAGGCCATTGCCTAACTGTGGGACGTACAAACCATAACTTAATTTTTTTTACACTAAAATAATTACAGTAAAACATGTTCTAACCTGTTCAGCATAGGCCAGATTCCGGAGCTCCCATGACAACTCAAAAGCTGTGAGAATGGGATCATTTGAAGATAATGCTATAAGGGAAGGAGATGCGAGGGCTCGATACTCGTTGAGACGTGCCAAGGTGTGCCGGAGGGAGTCCTCAGTGGAATCGCGAATACAATCGTCGCACCCACACCTTTATAATGTGCAAATTTTTAAGATTAGTATAGCATTTTGTGAAAAAATAATTTTCTATCTATTTGTCAATCTAGACGTCACCGGTCTATTGAGGCTAGTAAATCTCATCTTATTTTTAGGTGGACTGTATGCTCGTCGTCACCCTTATTCTATTTAAAAAAAATGTATATTTTACAGAAATGAAATTCACGTAAGTACTAACAGTCCCAATAAAGCGATATAACTTTTAGAATAACAGTTTATCATTTTCTGTATTAAACACTTCATACCTAATGTCATGAGGATCGGGTAAGTTCGCTCCTCTATCAAGAAGAATCTTGATGATTTCGTAGTTGTTCTTGTGTGCTGCGAGCATCAGTGGCGTAATGTCTCGAGTGAACATCGCCGTGTTTGGATCAACTTTTTGCCAACTCTGTTCAATATGGAAAAATATTTTTGAAACACCGATCCCATTGAGGTGTACTTGTTTTTAATTTCTTTATTTAGCCAAGCTATTCATAATACTAATAGTGAGTGACAGAAGCCTAATTGCAGGGTGCTGATCGCGAACTTAAAAAATCGTGGATTCAAATCCATCATTCGTCTACTGTCGTGAACACTTAACTAACACAAACATTTTAAGCTTAACAGGACTAGTTAAAGGGAATATTAATAATATGACTGCCTCGTCAGTCTGGTAATCGTAATCATTATTGCTGGTCATAAGGACCCGGGTTCGAAGCCCGGATCAGGTGAGAATCAGTGATTGGGTTTTTCTGTCAAGAATTCTCGGTAACATCCCGGAGTCAGGATGTCGGTGGTGTTGCAGCCCAATGTCTCAGAAAGCACGTAAAGCCGTTAGTCCTGCACCTGATCTCTCTCTCCGGTCGTGTCGGGTTGTCGTCCCATCTAACCTTATTATAACCTCTTAGCTATCAAGCGTCCAAATTTGACCGCGGCGATATTCCGTTAAAATTCAAGAGGTCAAATGTGACCGCACGCATCCACAGCACTTTAACCCATAATTGCTTATGTTTAGAGACTACTTTTTGTGAAGAAGTTTAGCATTTGAATCAATATGAAATTTTCTATCTTCTAGTGAAATAAAACGTCAGTTAGTCTGTGGATATTTATTTATAATCTACGTTGGATTTTTCTAGTAATTTAAAAGACTTTTTGCATAGTGTTTTATTACAAAATTGTAATTAAAGTTTTTGTGTGAATATAATTTATCTTTTTAAATAAATAATTTTGAGTAATATGTAAATAATTGTGATTTTCACGCTGCCGACATCCGCTTGGTATATTTTTTGTTATCAAAATACAATAAAATCTTTTTTGTAATGAAGTAAAACCTGACTTTTGTTTAGACCACAATTTTATATAGATTTTATAATGCTAAGCTTCTTGGTAGAAAATTATTCTCTAAATTTAAGTTTTAATGGCTTTAAGTGCTGTGGGTGCGGTCGAATGCGACCGCTCGGGATTTGTCGGACGCATGCGACTGCATGGGATTTTATGGGAATTGAAGGGTTAACTTAAGCTACTCTTATATTAGAAAAGGAATTAAAATAACTATGAAATTCAATCGTATAATCGTAGTACAATCCACGCGGGCGAAATCACGGAGAACAGCTAGTCTTCAGTATATGTAGGCGTCAATGAAAAATAATATCCATCAATGCTCGTTGGTTATTCTCATTTCTATAAAAAAAATGTAAACTTTGGATAGTTAACATCCGTACGATACACGATACGACTCCTGGTGATAATTTATAAGAAGTCGAACCAACAAAAATATTTTAAATTTTTTTTATTTTTTATTCCTTTACTAGCTGTTCCACGCGACTTCGAACACGTAGTGTATTACAAATTCATAGGTCCCTCATTATTTTTTTCAAATTAGTTACTCCTTATAAAAAAAGAAACTTCAAAATTGTCAAAATTGGTCCAGCCCTTTCGGAGATTAGCCGGAGGTTTGGGTCGCATTTTTACTTAACAGTAGCGAGTCAAATGTTAGCACTTAATAGAACCAAATGTGCAAATGCGGACAAACAGACACACAGATAAAAAGTTTAAAAATTGTTTTTGTTATAAGTAACGTATATACTTTCATATGCATTTAGTAAAAGTTGTTATTTTGACATTACAAATAGACATCAATTTTTATTTGTTAAATTTGACTTTTTTTTTGTAATAAAAATCGATTAAGCTTACGTATGACTCTCCTGGTTTATAGATTAACTCTTCATGCTCAAGCAGCAGTTCCACCGCTTCCACGAATTCCGCATTAATAGCTTGCAGGAGTGCGTCCTTGGTTTCCACCCCCATGACGACAAGAAGCTCTACCATCTCCAGATTTTCACCATCTATTGCCAAAGTGAGAGCTCCTCGACCCAATGCATCTACGCAGTTTATGTCTACACCATTTTTGCGATGAGCTTTTTGAATTATCCTAAAAAATTACAGTTCTTTTCAATCTACTTCAAAAAAGGAGGAGGTTCCCGATTCGTCGGATTATTTATGTATGTTCACCGATTACTCGAAGACGCCTGAACCGATTTGGAAAATTCTTTTTTATTTCAAAGGGTGTAACTTCCTAGCAGTTTTTAAAGATCAACAATAATTTTTGAAGTGAAAACTTCTTTAGCGGCGTACAACGCCGAGATTTTACTGGCATTTACCGAAAGCCTCTTATAAAATGCACGGGATGAAATTGGATGATGAAGCACAGGCACATCTGTTAGGAAATTTACCTTCTAACGTTAACCTTGTCCCCACGCTCGACGGCTAAGAGGTATTTCTTCTCTTCCAGTGTGAGTGGCTTTGGAAGTACGGGTAACTCCACTATTTGTTTCGTACATTCTAAATTCGGATCACCCTACAAAATACAAAATAGTATCAAATAAATATACGTTAGTTAAAAGTTAAGTTTAGTATCTTTTTTTAAAGAGTAAGGATGGCAAACGAGCAGACAGTCCATCTTATGGTAAGTATAACCACAATAAACATATACATCTTTCCTCGATTAAGAATCAAAATCCAGATGCATTGCCACCCGGTGATTAAATGTTCGTTTCCAGTAAAAGGGGTCTCCGGTTCTCTACACTCGCCATACGAAACACAGCAGCATTGAGCTGCTACTTGACCCTGGTATTCCGTGAGAGCGTGATCCTTTCCCGGTCGAGCTGACCCATTCGTGCTGCAACCATAATATAGCTGCAGCATGGCTCTACCACGTAGAATAATTTTAAAAATCTTCTACATATTTAGTTATTTGTGAAATTACGATTATGTCCTTCAGACCGAATTTTGGGTTACGGTGCAAGCACAGGTGCACTCTCGATTTATTACTCTCATTCACCGATAGAACGGCAATTTGATACGATTGAAGGCGGAAAATCAATCGTGCTTTGTGAGGCACGAAGTTAAAACACCGTCAAATTTCTGCCTCTGGGCTGCTTCTAAGAATTTCTTGATAGAAAAACACCGATAACAGATTTTGAACCCGGGACAACATAATCAGCAGTTGAGCTTACGCCCACTAGACCAACGAGGCAGTCAAGTAGAAGGTATTTGTCTATTTCTGCTTACGGATTCATCTAAGTAGGCAGCAGAGAGAGAAAGACTCTATTTCATGCCGGCGTATCGCTTGCTTTACAAAGCGCAAGTTCGGCCTCACACGGAATACTGTTCTCATCTCCATCATCAGCTGTGAGCCGTTGCTGCTCGTTTGCCCCCTCTTCTATAAATAAAACTTACTGTTTCGAACAAGTAAAGCAAGGAAGTATGGCTGTAGGCAATGAAGCATTCCGTCTTACACTTTCAACCCATATTTTTTTCAGTGAGGTTTACAGAGAGTTTTTCATTAACAGAAAGTTACTCTATGATCGATTGTTATGCAAAAGTCTACAGCAGAACAGGCCTACCCATACATAGACATGTAAAACACGAAACTTACACACGTAATACATGTAAATATAAAAAGGAATTATCACTTTTCCAAAAAAATGGACCGAGGGTAGATTTTGACATTTACAGAAGCTTAAATAATTCTAAGCTGATTTCAAGTATTTGTTGTCGACCAAACCAACACCATTAAAACAGGTTGGTTGAGGACAGAGGTATGTTGTCGGAAAATCCTAATTAAATCGGCTTTTACATAACTAATGTAACTAGTATTTGCCCAGGGGTCAAAATCCGACCGTCATTCATTAAATTTTTATGTTTGTATGTTAGGCGAGATTTTAATGTGCAAATGAAAGTGAAATACACTCCCTTTCATTTGCACATTAAAATATAGAACACAGATATCTTTTTGTTTTTAATAGGTCTGGGCTTGTGACACAGCAGACTACTGAAAAAGGAACATTTGAAATCACAAGTAAGTAGAAATATGTAGGCGCAAGTTCTGGTGAGTACGGCGTAGACGGAGAGCTTCCCAACCCCAGCTCTTGTAACTTGGAGACCATCTGTTGTACAGTATGAGATCGCATTATCATGCAGAAGCAGTGGGGACTACCGATTGACTAAATCTGGTTAGAGACGTACAAGCTTCTGCATCATTGTATTCAGTTCTTCATAGTACACACCTGCAATAATGCTCATTCCGTTTAGAAAAAGTTATGATGAATCACAACGACGCAAGACCATCAAACCTGGTAAGTTTTCGTGTTGGGCATTTTTTAGATACTGAACCAGGAACCAACCAACCTACTGATCGCTTGCAATAATAAACAGAATATTGAGTTCGTGTCAAAATTCTTTCGTTTGTATGCCTGTTGAGCAGTGCAAGGCTCGTCTCGACGCATACTTCGCGCTGGCGATTATTAAGTTCGTGGGGCACCCATTTATCAAGCATTATACCGTGCCAATTTGACACAAATGAATCAATTTCGTTTTGATGCTAACTTTAAAAGCTGCTGTTAATTCAGCCGTAGGTTGAATATCATCAGCGTCCACAATCGCATTTAATTCGTCATTATCGACCAATGTTTTCGGATGACCACGGGGTTTATTTTTCAGGTCGAAGTTTCCAGAACGGAAGAGAGCAAACCAATAACAGGTGGTGCGTCCGTTTGTAGTATTCGCTCCATAAACGTCGTTAATGTTGAGTGCCGCTTGTATCGCGTTACTGCCACGACGTTATTCATCCATAATTACTCGAATATTTAACGTATCCATGATGAAAAATATTCTAATGCGATAAAAACATAACGCTTATCAATAAACAAATTACAAATTATAAAAAAAAGCTCCATGACTACAAAATAAAATTAATTTGAAATTAGAATTTTTAGCCAAACAAATGATTTTGATTTGAAATGGCCAGTAGTACAGAACTACAATTTTATAGGTAAAGACCTATTATAAAAAGACCTATTATACAGATATGTCAAATTTATAAATGAATAATAACGTAAAAAAATAAAAAATTACTTACTCCTTCCAAATCCTGCTTCTCGGTCATGGCTATGTTTAGTCAGGATGTAAAATTGGAGCAATCTGTCAATATGGCACTTAGTCCTGTAAAGTAAGTGCAAAAGATAACTTGTCATCCTCAAAAGTATATAGACAACTTTTCTTTATATGATATTCTTATTATACGTAGATTCAATCGAGGGAATGATGTGTGGACCCTCATAGGTGACAAAACATTACAATGTATTAGTAAAATAAGACAAACTTAAGTTACATTAGCTAATTAATAAATTTGTCGCAAAACCACACAACCTAAAAATTCTCTAAGTTGTAATGGCAATGGGTCGACCATATAGCTCGAAGAAACACCAATCAACGGGGAAAAAAGTTCTCCAGGTACGTAACAAAAAAAGTGTAGTGCGACCTTCTACTAGATGGAGTGATGAGTTGGTAAGATATGCAGGAAGTCGGTAATTGCACGTGACTCAGGACCGTGTTATGTGACGTTCCTGGGAGAGACCTACTTTCAGCAATAGACTTTTAAAATGCTATAATGACATTTTACTTTAATATATGGAAGCTTGATTTGTGGTTTGAATGGATTCATTCAGATAAGTCAAACATTTTGTGTTGGACATTTGGACAGTCGTCTAGTACTAACATGATGATTAGAACTTGCAACGTAAAAGAAAGCTTGTGTTCAGTAGCTAAATTTCTTAACAATTTGTTTCCTTAAATTTATATTTTTACGTGATGGGGTCACGCTGCAGCTATATTACAGTTGCAGTACGAATTGGTCAGCTCGACCAGGGAAAACCACGTCTTCACAGAATGCTAGCGTTAAACAGCATCTGAATGCTGCTGTGTTTCGTACGGCGAGTGTAAAGAACCGTAGACCGTAGTTGCATCTTAGTCCTCGGGGTAACCACGCGTCTGCATTTGAGGATCAATTTGAATATCTTTGGGCCACAGCATCCACTTACAATCAGAAGGGCAGTGTGCTCGTTTGCCACCCTAAATCTATAAAAAAAAGGTTCCTCCCTAATACAAAAATTTACGAAAAAAAAACTAAAGTTTGAACATAGTCTTGTTTTCGGCGTAACTTCGGACAGACTATAATTATGTATGTTGCGAAGAGTTTCGTTAATAGGTATCGTAACTTTCGAAGTTGAATACTTTCAAACTAATTATTACGAAATATAATTAAAATTAACCTGAAATAAATGCTTTGGATATTAACAAACTTTATATCAGCTTGACCTGTACGTATAAATGTAAAAGAATTTTGTAATTCTATACAGATAGCTTAATATCATATATCACGTATCATACCAGTTTTATGCCCAAAGCCACAAGTTGAAACTTATTCCATCCAGAACGAGAGGACATGATACAGAATTGTTGAGCGGATGACCTTAAAATAGTTACAAATTTCAGAAATTTTCAACTAAAAAATATTTTGCATGATGCGGTCATTAAGATGCTTGTTGGGACTGATTCTAAATGATATGGTGAGTAATCTATTTACTTAAAACACAAAAAAACACTTCTATCTATGTCCTATATACTTTGAAATCATCCAACCAATGTTCTCTAAACAGGTTTGATTAGGAATTTAATAACGCGGAAGACGGTTTCAGACCACTAAAACAATCCATTAGGCATAATAAAAAAACATTAACAAAACTTCCTGTTTTTTTTTTCAAGAAATAAACATAATGTGTTTATTTTTTTAGCGTACTAACACACAACAAAAAACTGCCTGCTAATTGTTGCATTATGACGTCATTGGTGGTCGTTGAACCTATTGAAAGCTATGTTCACATGAATCCTCATTATGCCATTACACTTACACACACTTCAAACATACTTCATACACATTTTTTATAGAATACACTATATAATATACACAACACACTCTCACTTAGGGATTTTTTTAAATACTTTTAATAAAACTCAAATACTTGGTCGTATGATTAGGCTATTTGCGTCTAATAAAAAATTTCACCAATCTTGCAATATCAGTGATAGTAGTTAAGGCGTATATACATAAACATACATAAACACTCACGCCTGTCACCCAAAGGGGTAGGCAGAGACTACAGACTTCCATTTGACACGATCCTGACACACCTCTCTCATTAAAGCGTACATTTTTTTTATTATAATAATAATAACCTTTATTATTTTTACCACTTTTTAATATCCACACATAATGATCATAACGGTCAAGTTTGTAGGTTTAATGATTTCTTAAATTTACGCGAACACTACACATTGAATAAAACTATTATTTACGGATTTTATCGCGTTTAATTACAACTTTAATTTATTTTTAATATCGACGTTTCATTTGCTTTACTGCACCCATGGTCACGGGGGGAGGGGACTGAGATGTTTGACGTCCCAGTGTCATAGTTAGTCCGACTACCTTCAGTTTTTGAATATTAATTTTTGGTCCGATTTACGCGATTTTAATGGGTTTATTTATTATTTTTATATAATAATAAAAAGTCTAATATTTTTGTTTTTAATTAATAGAGCGAAGTGAGAGCAATTCTTTAAGCAATAAATCTTTTAAAAAAATTGGATATTTTATGTTTTATAGCAAAATAAAAAAAATCGAAAATTTCAAATTAATTATAAATTAACTAATAGTAATAGACGTGGAGCAATTATTCTAAGAGATCATTTAAGGAGCAATTAAATAGCATACATTTTAATTTAAAAAAAAATCTGCACTAACTTTCTTCCGGCACCTATCAATCAATGATCAGTTTTCTGAAAATTATTATTCGCCTAAATTTATACTTAGTCAGAGGTCATAAATTCTGTCAAAAACTTATTATAAAACTAATGATACACTTTTTAATTGTAATTTAATTTAGAATACAATTTTATTTATGTTATTCAAAATCCCCTTCCCTATTTTGAATACATGCCCTTAATAGACACGGCCAATCATCAACGCACCACACTCATATATATTTCTGACGCTACTTTAGCCAAAGATGCTCGGAGAGATTCCAAATTCTGTTGAAGTTTAGCGCAGCTTTTGTCCTAAAAATGTTGCTATATCTTATAATCCAGTGGGCTTAAATCTGGTCTAGAAGAGCGCCAGTCTTTATATCCGATAAAGTTAATTCCATGGGCGGTCAACCAGTTTTGCGTGCTTCGTGCCCTATGAGCTGGTGCTGAGTTTTGTTGGAATATCCAATGTCTGTTTTTGAACATTGTTTGAGAAACAGGTTTCACTATATTTGTTAGGATGGTATTTTGGTAGACCTCGGCACTGGTTTTTACGCCTTTTTCACAGAAAAACACCTCAGTTAAGCCTGAATATGAGACTCCAAGCCAAACCATGAATGACGAAGGATAATGTGCTCGTTGAACCCTCGGAATACGCGTGCTGGCTTCTTCACTGCTGTGGGCATACATCTTATCATTTTGTTTATTATAACTTTCTTCTATGTTAAAATTTTTTTCATCTAAAAACCAAATTTCGCGGTATTTTTTCCCGCGTACCGCCGTAACAAAACGCGGGATCTATCCAGCCCATTTTTTTCAAATGCACGTTAAAAAAATGTCCGGTCTTCTTACGATAAGCCCTTAGTCTTAGGTCTTCATTGATCACTCTTATGACCGTGATTCTGCTTAGGCCCATCTAAAGAGCTAAGATGTTTTGCTTACTAACAGGATTTCGTTGGATTCGCGCCTTCACTGCTTTGATGATCGCGGGTGTCCTAACTGTATGAGGTCGGCCGGTCCTCTTACGATCTTCGAAGCTTGAATCTTCAGTGAATCGATAAATAGTGCCATAAACAAATCGTAGGGTTATTTTCAATTTTTGTAGAATATTGAAAATCTTTTTTGGCGCGTAACCACAGCGGTGCAACGCGATAACCGCTACTCTATCTACTTTCTTCGACCACTCCATATTTGAAAATGAATTATAATTAATGTCTTTTTTATTTTCGGCAAGCGCAAACGTTATATTTTTAAAATTGGTGAAGTTCATCTAGCCAGTATTCAAAAATTTTAAATAATAAGGTTTTGACACAACTTATGACCCAACTAAGTATTATAATCATTGAGATATCGTGCGAAAGTATTTTTATTTATCTCTTTTATCACTATTGTAGCACTTTTACGGGCATTCCATCCAGCTACGAGTACAAGATGATGTGATGTGACGCAAAAAGGATGTGTCATTGCAGACTACATTTTATTACTGTATTTAACATTTTATTTCTGTCCTAGAAGATGGTACAGAATTTGCAACCTTCTAAATTTAAATTCGGCTGCAAGTGTCTACATTTTTATCATCCACCCATTACAGCCTATTAAAGCCCACTGCTGCATAGTTGCCAAGCTTGGCAGGCGGATTGGCAACCGCAGTTTTTTTTTCTATTTGTTGTAAGGAAGATGCTTCTGCCTATGTCCTGGTTCGTTTCCCTCTGTCGCCTCTTACGACACCCACGGCGTAATATGAGGTATTGGATATTCTTACACCGCCACTACACAGTCATATTAATGGTTACTTAAATACAAAAGTTAGCTTGATTTTTATATAGAATAAAAGTGACAAATGAGCACACAGTCCACCTGATGGTAAGTGGTTGGTGTGATCCTCGATTAAGAATGAAAACGCAGATGCGTTGTCACCCCTGAGGACTAAGATGGAATGCCTGATTTCCAGTAGAAAAGTGTCTCCGGGGTGTAGAGAACACTCACTATAGGAAACACAGCAGTATTAAGCTACTATTTTACGCTAGTATTCTGTGAGAGCGTGGTCCTTCCCCGGTCGAGCCGACCTAATCGTGCTACAACCATAATATAGCTGCAACGTGGTTCTACCACGTATAAAAATGTAATTTACATTTACATTTTCTAGTAATACGCATATCAAAAGTCACAAGTGCTTTTTAAATCTAGCAATTGCGTCGTTATACGTATGCGTAAAACAGATAAGCGATAATAAAGCGCGTGATAGCAAGCGAAGCCGTAACAATACGCTCATAGTACACTTTAATCCATTCTTAAGTTGTG